TGCCCACTGACCCCCTTCACAGCAGTCCTATGCATACTGCCCGGGAATCACCCATCTCACACATATGCATACGCGTTGCTTATTCGAGTACAGAAGATAAAAAAAAAAATGTTTTCGCCGGAACGATTTCATTGGACGAGCGGCAAGAATGCCATCCAGCCATCGAGCTACGGCATACAAGTCGGAACCGCCTCCCAAAGCACCAAAAGCCGAAAACAAGCACTATAAGAGGAAGCTTGCGTTCGCGTTGCGATAGACACTTGCGCATGAAAATATGGGCTCACTCTTCGCGACGAAGGGACAACATCAACATCGCACGTATTTTGAACAGGACCGTCGTTGCTTGAAGATCACGACAACTTGAATCGCGGCCCACATGGGAACACCCAGTCGACTTGTACAGCGACAGCTAGGAGTCGAACTACCAACGAAGATGACGCAAACGAGGAAAAAAAAAATGAACCTGAAGCGAAACATTTGTCCGACCACTCTAGAGCAAAAAAACACACGTCATCATCGCACCGGGCGTCGAGACACGAATCTTGCCCAGGAAAAGGCAGGCCTCACCTCAAGATGAGCAGAATCTGGAAAGCGCTGAAGAACGAGACGATCAACGTCGTCCAAACGTACAGCTTCCGCCAGCTTGAGTGGAAGAACCATTTTTTGTACGCCAGCAGCCCCAAGCTCGCCATGAGGGAACCGATCACGCCAAGAACACCGAGCTAAAAAGACGGAGGTTTAGATAGCAGAACCGCAGGCGGCAGCGGTGACGTCAAAGGAGAGGAAGGCCGAGCCTACGTCAGTCGCACCACACACAGCGTGCAGGTCGCCCGCCGTGGGTGGGAGAGAGGGAAAATACGGGATGCATGTCGACAACCATGGGTATTCCCATGGCTGCAAATTATCATTCAAATATTGACGTACCATGTACGCTACTGTACATCTGTACACTTCAGGGTGGGCATGCCGAGTCAACAATGATGTATAGCTCGGATACTTCGAACGCAACGTCCAAGTCTGGACACCCTACAACGTCCTAGACCTCGGAGGATGAGTTGAGATACCGCGGGCGTTTATTTAGCAGCTCAAGACAAAAGAGGAAGACAATTTACCTCGAAGTTGGAGAAAGACAGCCCAATGACGAGGAATGACCTCCACGCAGCGTTGGGCACCTGCACCAAAACGTAGATCGTCCGGTAGGAGAGGAAAAGGTTACCGGAAAAAAAAATGGTAAAAAAGTGACCCTGTCTATCGTTTCGACACCGAACCAGCACACCACTCGAAGTTGAGCATCGCACCCATCCGAAAGAAGCACTTGAGCACCCAAATCGTGATGCCCGGATGAGATCCCCGCACGAAAGCCAGCCTTTGTTCCTTCATGCCACGATGTATGGGCGGCAGTCTGCACACCTTCCGGTGTGCATTTCTGACGCACCAGCTGGGGTAACACAGGAGGAAGAAACTACACACTTTCCCCGCCTGCGGTGCTTACGATCAAATTATATTTTTTAACGTAACAAGGGCTCAGCAGTTCTCACCTCCCTGTTCGGCTGACAAAACAATTACCGCTGTCAAACACTGTAACCGTTACGTGACTACAGCAGTTCCAATTGCAGTTCCGACCACAATATTTCGTCTTCAAACACACACCCTTTCCTCGTTGCATCATCGTTGAGCCGTGATTTGTGTGTGCATATGCCACAATAAAAAGGACGAAAAAAAACAGACACACATACCCTCGCGATTGATTGTGTGGACACGTGTAGGGATGATTTGGGAGCATTTGTCATCCAAGAGCCAGTTCTCCAGGAAGAGGGAGGAGGCACAAAAAAAAAGAAAAAAAAGGCAAATAAATTCAGTCACACGAGAAGAACAAGAAGAAAAATATTTACCTGGAGTAGGTTGTAAATGAAGATCAACCCCATCGGCCCGTACACCGCTTTCTGCTCCAACGCTCGGAACACTTCCGTGCACTGCCAGAAACGACCAACGACCAACGGACCCGTCCACAGAACGGTCGGAGAAAACGGATCAGCCTTGAGGTGGAAGAAAAGGCTCGAGGAGCGAGTTTGGAAGAGGTAGGCACGCTGGGGGTGACGGGGGCTTGAACGACAAGTGACGGTTCGAGAGAACGGACTATGCGGTGAAACAAGGAGGGGAGAGATCTCAACACGTTTCAATTGTGATTGTGCCATCCATTTCTTTACTCGTACAGAAGTACCATTGTTGTCCAGGACGTACGGAGTACCATGGGCTTTCCACAATATATGGTACTTCCATTGCAGCGGTTCTACAAACATAGCTTCTCCCGCTTGCCGGGTGTGGTACTGGGTGGTGCGTCTATGTGGGACTGTTATCTTGCGTCATGTACGGTACAAAGCAATTTTGAAGTGTGATCGGTCGACGGTGGGAAGCGAAAGGGCAGGTTCACGAACCGTCCTGCGGCTTCTTCCCTCCTCACCAAAAGAAGAAGAAAAAAAAAAATCAGCAGTCAACCAACCTGCTGCCGCAGCCGCTGCTCGATGGGGACGTTGCCGTCCGTCACCACGGCCGTCTCCCTCAGCGACCACACCCATGGCCCCATGAACAACACAGGGAAGATGGCGTTCAAGAAGAAGAGCTGCTGGATCGACAAGCCCCACCCCCATTCGTCCTTGTTGTACAGCAGCAGGCCCATCGTACTTCCCAACAGGCTGGGGGGCACGCGGAGGTCGGCCAGCCGAAAGGGGCACCGACAAAAGGTGCAATTTGGTAGGGATGGGGTAAGGGTTAGGGCAACAGGGACAGAGGAGAGATCGATGCAGCGAGGAACACGCTCTAGAGCGGGACGCAACCACTGTTGTTGTGGTTGTTGATGGTGGTTGTTGTTGATGGTGGTGTGGCGTTGTTGGTGTTGGTGGAATTGATGGCTTCCGCTTCCAAGAGGGCTTGTCCGAAGGTCGCATCTTGGCGATGTTACCCTTCTCACTGCTAGAACACAATATGAGACACGATCCCAATGTTCCCTGGGCCTGACAATTGAACAAATTCCGTGGTAGGGTAAAAGCTCGTGACGGCGGAATCGTCCAGTGCTGTGTCGGCTGCACCGCTACTGGACTTGAGGTCAGGAGTTCAAAAAGAACACGAACATCACCACCACTACCACGAACAACAAGAAACAACACCAACGACAACAACCATAAACAGCACAAAAACAAAACTACAAATGACAAACAGCAAACAAGAGAATCACCATGTAGAACCCACACCTGCCCACGAAGCGGACGCTGTAGCCGATGGCCTGCATGCTTCCCCTGGTTTCGGCAGGCTCGTGCTTGGACCGCTCAACCAAGATGGCGTCAGTCGTCACGTCCGACAGCATAAACCCCATCGACATAATCAGCGACCCCACCGCCAGGAGCTGGATACTGTCCCCCCCAACCGCGAGAGAAGAGACACCAATATTCAGCGTTAGGGAGACTAGTAGGGGGAGCAGCCAGGGCAGCCAATGGCAATTGCAGAGGCGATTGGAAGGAAGCACAATAAAGATTGGAGGATCCTGCGGTTTCGGCAGCGATCAGCGAGGCACATGCGAAACCAGCAGCAACCGCATCAGACGACTTGGGGATTCGAATAGGGGAGACCAGCAATGGACAAATGCCGAGCCTTCTCTCAGCGTCTTGTTGAGGAAGCAACTACGTACACCAGTTCCAAATCGATTCAGTTTCTGCGCGTGCGCGGGATAATCTTTCTGTGGGGCTGTATGTTCATGCGCAATCGGCAGACTCTCAAAACAACAGACATCATGGCCAGCTCGGAGGGAACCGACCTCTCCGCCCTTGCCCTTGGTAGGGAACACAGCTGGAAGAAAGAATGGAGCAAGAAATTCAAAGAAGGGTGCAAGCCCAACTCGAGACCACCAGGGGCAACATTTCCCCACCACCCACGGGCAACCAGCCATCATCCTCCAGCCAAGGAACACCAGTCCCCGACAGCGTAGCAAACATCGTGGTGCAAGCGCCATCGCTGAACACCAGGGCTTTGCCCACTCAGGCACGTTTGTTTCGTGTCAACCCTGGTTCAGATGTGTAGAACCTTGGCTCGGTCGTGCGAAGAAGGAGCAGGAACTGTGTATGATGTTGATGTTTTTCGCAGTAAAATGACCTCGTATTTTCTGGAGGACGGCGTATATCGTGTGTTGGAACTGGGGGAAGACGTGACGTCAAGGTTGGAAAGAGGGGCGTGGATGTAGCAGAGCTGAGGGGACTCTTTGGGGCTGATGTGGTACACAAGTCAGTCAAGCTGTGGAATAACATCATTAGCAAGGTGCTGTATCCCCCGATACAGAGCTTGATCATGGCGTGCGAGAGTCCGCAAAAGGGTTGAAAAATAGTAACGGATGAATTCATATTGTCCTGTGGGTTTTCTATCTCTCGCATCTCTAACTCCTTCCAGTCCTGCTCTAATGGTGACTTCTCAGATTCGTTCTTCTCCCAAGAGAAATCCGCAACTATTTTCCAACCCTTTTAGGGACTCTCGCACGCCATGATCAAGCTCTGTATCGGGGATAGAGCACCTTGCTAATGATGATTTGACGATATTCCACAGCTTGAACGACTTGTCAACCACATCCGTCTAAAAGAGTGCCCAGAGATCTGCTACATCCACACCCCTCTTTCCAACCTTGACCTCTTCCGCCAGTTCCAGCAAACCATACACACCTTCCTCCTGGTAATCATGTTACTGTGAAAAACATCAACAACATTTACAGGTCCGTTCCATCGTCACCCCACGAAGCCAAGGTTCTTAATCTGGGCCAGGCTATTTCTACGGTGGGGCACCACGCGTCAAGTCCTGACGCTGTTCCAGTCCGGCTCCGGAGATGCCTACTACCACTGCGGTCCAGCTGGGCGGCTGCGAGCCGAGAGTACATAGTTCATAAGAATGACTGATCCGTTGGACTACTCAGTCAGCGGGTAAGACTTTCTAACGTAGAATACACGCATGGGTTCGAATCCCAGCTGGATCACTTCCGAATCACCATTAATAGTTCTTTCTCCGGCAGCACCAATGCAAGTCTGCACGACGACGATGGCGACGACCGGCCGTCTCGCCCCCGGCACCGTTCGAAACGTCCACCCAGAGAGAGCTCCGTGCTCTCGACAAGGACAACGTAAAAAACCATACGTGATGAACGAACGTGTATTCCATTTCATAATATGGGGGTGGTACGGTACTCGATGTGAACACGGTTTCTACCCTCACTGCCTTCAAGAGGCCGCTTCCTTTCTCGCTTGGAAAAACTGCACTTGCGCGACGTTCTTCTGGAGAATCTTCGAAAGGCCTGCTACAAAGTCTATCGAAAACCATCCTCGACAAATGCTTGGACCAAGATAGCGCGGAGCACAGTTGGCTAGCCCTTGGGGGACGAACGAGCTGCCAGAGAACTTTCCAGAATTTTCGAACCCCTGCGTAAACAAGCAGACGCTGATGCCACCCGGGCTCTCACCTTGGCACCTCCTTGGTGGCAACGTAGAGATTGGTCAAGACGTACACCAGCCAGCCCATGATGAAGTAAGGCTTTCTCCGCATGCCCCCGATGGGGAAGTTGTCCGATATAAACCCGTACACCAGCTTGAAGCTCCAAGGGAGCTGGGCCAACGTCAACATGATGTTCTGCTGCCCCGGCGAAGCCCCTGTCAGCAAGGGAAAGTTCGGAGGCTAAGGGGGAGTGTACGCATGCCGTAGTCGTTAGACCATTGGCCTCGCATCCGTACAATATTGTACCGGGGACGGAGCGATATGCCGGCTTTTCGCCGGCCCAGGCCACGTTTCACTTTAAAAGGATGAACCAGGGGTCGAATCATCAGGAGGAGAGGGGGGTAAAATTCGCCGCCATGGATGGATGCTTGGAGACCCATGGCCTTACCTGAAGGCGTGGCCACGCCCGGTCCCTCTATACAGGGGTAAGGTGTGTTCGTCTGCCGTCTGCCCAAGGCAAACAGAAAAGGTCTACGAAAAAACACAATAAACAAGGCGTGAGGCAACTCGCGGGTGCGTTGTCGGTCGCGGGCATGTCCAACCACGCTGGCCAGGAGTGCTGCCATGCACAAAAAACGGCCGCCAAAACGACACGCACACACACGTTCGTACCGATTGGCGGTGACACCTGCGTTAACCTACGCCGTAGCTGAGATACGCGGTGCGCCAAGCGGAGACGGTTCATGTCATGCGGAACGATCCCACCTATACCAGCAACACCAAATAAAAACTCTCCTGGAAAGAACGACCCGCCAATCATGGAAACCCGGGGGCAAAAACCTGCTCGTTTTTCGGTACACCATAAAAAAAAACTGGAAGGATTTCACTTCGTGCACATGCTCGCTCTGGGGGGGGGAAGGTAAGGGCCAGCGATGGGAGGGGAGCACTTTGGCTAGTAATCAATCACCTATGACGTTGACCATGTAGTAGGAGATCGGCGTGGTCAGGAACCGAATCGCGAATCCGACGCAAAAGTAGCTCATCACGACGGCTCTGTTTTGCACCGCCCAGATGTTCCGCATCCACTTGTCGTTTTCCGAGGTTGACAAAGCTCCATAAGCTTCATCCATCTCAGGACCCGGCCTTCTTTTCTCTGAAGCGCCTTCGACATCGCTCAGGAGCTCCACCTCGAAGGGTTGAACCCCGCTGCCAGAGTCGTCCTGCTGTGATGGTGTACCGATAATATACGGGACGGTTTATGGAAGGGTGTTATCGAGGCGGTGCCGCTGAGGCCCACCTTCTTGCTGGCTTTACCGTGTACAAGTCTCTCCCCCCCCAGCCCTCGCCCCCGCCACATCTGGTTTGGCACAGCAAAACGCAAGGGTGATGACCAGCTTCTAGTCCATCTTTGTGAAAACATAACCTGGGACCCCGGCATATCGCACCGTCCTCGCGTTGTAGGGACGCGATGTCTATGCTCAAACGACCACGGCATGCGTAAACATGAGTACACCCCGCCCCCCTCCGGTTCCCTTTCGCCTGTCCCTCTCTTGAGCCACGATTCCAAACCTGGTGCGACATGCGTCGATTCAATCGTCGATCACAGGACGGCGGAGCTTGGCGAGCGCAACGCATGTGCGGGAGGCGCAAGTTGCACAAATTGATCACGCACACGCAAAGCGCTAGGGAAACCCCTAGCGACCTTCGTGATGGTCGGAGTTAGCTCGGCTTTGGTTCTTGTTCTGGTGGAACCGATGTTCACACTCGGCACGCGTCAGCGTCCGAAAGTCTGCAATATGACGGCCTCGCACAGATATATGGTACTTCTATCGCAAGGAATACTGATGATTGGTATTGCATAGACTGAGAGAAGGGCGCTGCGCCGATTGTTCCGATGGTATACGAGGCCAATCGCAATTTGCGGCGGAATCGAAGAAGCACACAGACACACGCACGTCCATAGACTAGA